TTGTATTTTACTTAGAGATAGGGTCTCACTGAGTTGCTTAGCGCCTTGCTTTTGCTGAGGCTGGCATTGAACTCGTAATCCTCCTGCCTTAGTCTCCTGAGCTGCTGTGATTATAGGTGTGCACCACCATGCCTGGATGTTCTCTGATTTATTTTATTTTCTTAATTTGTTCTAACTAGTTACATGACACTAGAATGCATTTGGACACATTGTACACAAATGGAGTATAACTTCTCCTTCCTCTGGCTGAACATGGTGTAGTCATATGGTAGTGTAATCATACATGTATATAGGGTAATAATGTCTGTCCCACTCCACTGTCCTTCCCATCCCCACAGCCCCTCCCTTCCCCTCCCCTCCCCTTCCTCTGCGCAATTCAAAGTTCCTTCATTCTTCCCCATCCACCCACCCCCCATTATAGATTAGCATCCCCGTATCAGAGAAAACATTTGGCCCTTGGGTTTTGGGGTTTCTCACTTAGCATTATATTCTCCAAGTTCAGCTATTTACCTGCAAATGCCATAATTTCATTCTTCTTTAAGGCTGAATAATATTCCATTGTGTATATGTACCAATTTTTTTTTTCCATTCATCTGTTGAAGGATACCTAGGTTTAGCTATTGTGAATTGAGCTTCTAAAAACATTGGTGTGGCCACATCACTGTAGTACACTGTTTTTAAGTCCTTTGGGTATGAACCTAGGAGTGGGATAAGTGGATCAAATGATGGTTTCATTTCAAGTTTTCTGAGCAATCTCCATAATGGTTGCACCAATTTGCAGTCCCACCAGCAATGTATGAATGTACCTTTTTCCCTGAATCCTCACCAACACTTATGGTTGCTTATATTCTTGATAATTGCCATTCTGATTGGAGTGAGATGAAATCTTGGAGTAGTTTTGATTTGAATTTCTTTAATTGCTAGAGATGATGAACCTTTTTTCAAATGTGTGTTGATGGATTCTTCACTTCTGGGAAGTGTCTGTTCTGTTGCTTAGCCCATTTATTGATTGGGTTACTTGGTTTTTCTGGTGTTAAGTTTTTTGTTCTCTGATCTTTTTATTTTTAATTTTTTTTAATTGCCTTCCAGTGACCTGAGCACACTAGTGGCTATTTTTGTAGTTTCCTTCTCTAGTCTATTTCCTCTGCTGGGCTTGGTGGGGTGGTTGGCTGGCCAGAGACTGTCCTCTGAAGCCTGGAGGGCCACTCTAAGGTGGCCCCCAGCATTCCTGGAGGGGCCAGGATGGAGCAGGCTGGGGGTGCCCCAATCCATGTGCAGGCCTTGGCTCAGTGTTCTCTGTCGCCACCATCACCCCACCCCTGCTTCCAATAGGGAACCCCAGCCTCTCCTGTGTTCAGTCCGGAAACCCTGTTTAACCAGCTGCAGACACAAAACCTACATCTTTGGTTGAGATGGAGGGAGTATAACCACCCTGAGGCCAGGAGTGCAGAAGGGGATTTAGGAACCTAACTTCTTAAACTTGCAAATGAGCCTTAAGCCCTCGCCTTTCACCATGCTGGCCTTGGGTCTTAAGGATTCTACCATCCAAACTGGGCTCATTCTTCATTTCTCAGACTGCTGATGTACTGGGTCAGTGCTGTGATTTTAATATGGGTAGAGTCCCCCCAAGGTTTAGGTGTGAAAGGTTTGGTCCCAGGGTGGTGATATTGAGAGGTACTGAGGACTTGGAGGAAGTGGGGTCTAGTAGGAGGTCCTGAGGCCTTTAGGACATGCCCTCAAGAGGAATTAGGGGACCCAGGCTCTCATCTGTCTCTGCTTTCTGGTCCGTTTTGTAAGAGGTTTGCTGTTTGTTTCAAAGGTAAAAAAGCAATTGGGGCCACCTGATCTTAGACTGGACTCTCTAGAATTGTGAGCTAAATAAGACTTTTATTCTTTTATTGCCTCAGGTATTTCATTATAGTAATATCAAGCTGACTGATACAGTGAGTCACTACACATCCATGGGCTCTCTGTTTGCATCTCCTTGGTGGCTTTCCCTATGGGTTCATGTCTTTTTCTGACACAGAGCAGTTGGATGTTGTCGGAAATGAGTTCTGAAGGATGAGTAGAATTTTGCAAAGTATTGATGGGTAGGTGGCATGACAACTGGGGAAAATAATGGGTGCAAAGACAAAAAAAAGGGAGCACTTTAGCATATTTAGAGAACAATAAAAAATTCAAATGGACTAGTTTCAGAGATACCGTAGGAAGGTCATTGGTGTCATACTGTGAATGACCTTGAATACTTAGCTGGGAATCTTAGAGACTCAGTAGGCAAAGAGCTGCTAAGGCTTCTTAACCGTGCAGTGGCTGGTTGAGAGCTAGTCTTGGCTTGGCCGGCTTCATGTTGTGTCTGGATCTTTTCCAACACTACTCTATCCAAGGGCCCTTTCCTCAAAAAGTGGATTCTTCCCTATAACTCCAAATTGCCACGTGCACTTGGTTTCCTACAAAGCACTTATCACTGGTTGTGATTTCTGTCTACCAGCCACATTCCATAGTGGGGCCAGGGAATATTCTGTTCACCCTTTCCACTCGCAGCCCTTGGTACCCTGCTCGGCCCAGTAACTTCTCACAAAATGTGCAGACATCTAAGAGAAGCTTCTGACAGACGGTTCAGTACCTTATTCAAAGCTAAGCCAAGGCTTATGTGAGAGTATCAGTTCATAGAGGAGCTGTGAGATGGGAGGCCAGAAAACCTGGTGAGCAGGTCCTGGCTGCTCATCACCAGCAACCTGGATAAGTTGCTACCATTCATAAGTGACCTTGGATAAGTTGCTACCATTCAGACCTGATTTTCTCATCAGTTAAAACGCAGGCTTTATGTTGCTGACTGCGGGGTTCCCTTCAGAAAGAGTGCATCCCTCACAGGGAAAATGATGGGCCGATTGGAGGAGAGAGAGGGCCTGACTAGAGGGGGCGCCTTTTGGGTTGTTCTAGGGGGAATGTAATATAATTGATGTGAAGCGAAGGATCCAGTTTTAAGAGTTGCCTCTGACCTCTGCACCGCATTTGATCCCTTTGGACCAATAAACCTTTCCAGTGCTCTATTTCTTTTGCTCAGAGCCTTTTACCCCTCTAAAAGGCATGGAGATGTCCAAGCCCTGTGAGTGGTTCTTTTCTCATCTGACTCTTTGAAGTGAGATGTAGTTCTCCAAGTAAATACTCGTCTCCTCACTGCCTTGATCTTTAAACTGCAGGAATCCGGAGCATTCTCTCCCCTGCGCACAAGGCTGTCATCTGTAGGGCCTGCTGACTGTGCCTCGCTACGGCATCCTGGTCCCTAGCACAGGGCTTGTCACAAAGCAGCATGCAGAGTTGTTTTGTTGGCTAAATAAGTGATACCCCAAGCCTTCTCACCTCCCACCCCACTAGCTGTCGTCCGTTCCCCACCTGCCACTCTTCCTCTCCCCTCTGTCTGCCTGGCCAGGTGCTGTCAGTATCTAGAGGCTGCTCACTGACACGGCCCTCCAGGGCTGAACCTCCTCAGGGTGTGGTTGATGTTCCCATTCATGCTACATGTGCTCCCTGCACAATATTTTAGTTATTTATAAGCTCTTCTCTTCCCCTTGACCTCTCCAGCTAGTTAGCTCCCCGAGAGCTTGAACTTGACCTTCTCATGTCTTCCCTATCAAGTCATAGGAGTCCAATTATGAGCACTATGGTAAAAATTAAGGATAATAGAATCATGGGCCATCTGAGCTACATTTTAGATTCTAAGGAATTATTGAACAATGAAAATGATACTAGATGAAAAGTGGCTAACAAGATTATAAATTGAGGGTTGGGATTGTGGCTCAGTGGTAGAGTGCTTGCCTTGCCTGTGTGAGGCACTGGATTCGATCCTCAGCACCACATTAAAAAATAAATAAATAAAGATATTTCTAACTAAACTAAATAGAGATTTTTAAAAATATATATAAATTGAATCACTGGATGTATGTAACTATTCCAATATTTTGTAGTTGGTTTGAGGCAAAGTTCATTATATTGTTATTTCATATTTGGGATTGAAATAAGAGCATTTCTTGAAAAATTGGTGTCTATAGATAGCAAATTATTCTAATAATCTTAAAAAAGTTGGTAAAAATCTTAACATTTGCTGTTCCTTCTTAAGTTGAATATAATGTTTTCCTTATAAGCAAAGATAATTTTTGAATCATATATATTTTTTGAAATATTGTACATTGCATTTACTCATTAAACTTCACTTGATAAGGAGCAAATTTCTTCACTTTTTTTTTCTAGTTGAAACTGTACCCATCAGGGAAGAGGTGTGCTATCATGTGGTATTTATCAACCCTAATAACCACTAAAGTGTCTTGGTCTGTCCAGGCAGCTTAATAAAATGCCTTAGACTCGATGACTTATAAACAACAGAAACATATTTCCCACAATTCCAGGATCAAGGCGTGAAGAGATTTGGTGTCCGAGAAGTGCCCCCATACCAGATGGCCATCTTTTCACCATAACCTCATTTGGATGAAGGGACTCAAAATCTCCCAGGGGTCTCTTTTGTAAAGGCATTAATGAGTCCCATTCACAAGGACTCTGCTCTTGTGACCCAATCGCCTCTCCAAGGCCCCACCTTCTGGCCATCACCTTGGGGATTAGGCTTCAATGTGAGAATTTTCAGGGAGACACAGACCAGGGTAGATAGCTTTTGGTTATTGAGCAGTTCCAATATGCCCAGCACGTGATAAACAGTTTACATGTCATGACTTTATCTCATTACAATATTGTTTTATCAATGCGATAAAATGTCAGTGAAATTTTTGTTGTTAATTGATGATGAAGTGCCGGGAGGGGGATTGTTTAACAACTCAAGCCTAAGGAGTTTCAAACCGCTTTCCTGCCTGGCCAGGAATCCATCCCCCACAGGGCAGCCCAGCACCCCTGGGCAGATGCTGTCTTTTGTTACCTGTCACCTTCCTGATGCAAACTGGCCGTGACAAGGATGCAGTGTGCAGACCTCAATTTCAACATTTTTGTTGTTGCAGGGAGAGAAGTTGAATTGCTAGAGGGACCTCATGGACAGTCTCCCCAACAGGTAAGCTATTCTACTTTTTTTTTTCTATGCACTGGGGGGAAAGTGTATTCTTTCCACTTTTTATTAAATTTTCTGTCACTTGGTGATACAGGTTTTTTCACTACAGTTTTTATTCCCTAAAACATTAAGGCCAGTAGACAGAGTAAAGTCTGCTTCTTTCTGGCCCCTTCAAGTTTGAGAAAAATCCTGTTTTCCCCCTTACTCTTGTTGCTAGGGGAGAGGATTCTAAAATGCATGATGAGCCATGACCCAAGGAAGCCTTCACACAAAAGATGGCCAGTCAGTGGATCCCCTCAGGCATTGTGGAATTTCTCCAATAAAGACCTTGCCCTAGGACAGTGGCTCTCAGCCTATCCAAGGACCAGCAGCAACAGCCTCAATTGGGAACTTCTTAGAAATGCAGTGTCTCTGTCCCCACTCCAGGGCCACTGGATCAGAAGCTCTGGGGTTGATGCTCAGCCCTCCAGTGGGTTCTAGTGTATTGTCAAGTTCAGGTACCAGGACACAGGCTCACAGACCTCCCTCCCCGTCTTCTCTGCGGCTCTCCTCCCCAGCTTCCTCACCATTTCCATCTTTAGCCCACCTTGCAGGACAATGTTCTGTATATTTTACTCCTGTGGATCCAACCTATTTCCTCCTTTACCCTCTGCCTCTCAAACACACTGTGCACATTGTCCTTGTTCCCTTTGCCAATTCCACGTCCTCAAGCTGCCTCCTTGTGCAGAGCCTTAGCTTCCTTCTAGGTCCCTGTCGTCTTCCTAGTCTATCGTCATTTGGGAACTTTCCAAATGCTCCGTATCATTCAGTACCATAAGTTCCAAGCCTTCTTGACTTTCTGCACTCCAGCCATCCTCACTGGGCTACTCCTGCTGCAGCTTCATCCTGGACATTGTCATTAACTGCACACACCAAATGCCTAGGTCATGGCTAATGCTCTTAGTACTCCAAACTTCTCAGGCTCCAGAATGCCAGGTCCCTATTTCATTCTCTATCTATCTCTATTTCTATCTCTATCTATCTATCTCTATCTCTGTCTCTGAGTCTCCATACATAAGGATCTCCACCAGAAATGTTGCGGTAGATGGTTGTATATGCTATGGAAAAAGACTCTGCCCTTTATTTCATAAGGTTCTCAGTAGTTCTGAGTTACTACCATCAATGCTCATAATTCACTACACTCATGTTCTATAAAGCTGCCTTAAAGGATGAGTCAGTGAATAGGGAACAGTATTGCTCACAGAGGAAACACGGGCTGAGCTTCCCGTGAGCCTCTCCTCACTACATATTCATCTAATGATCCACACAGAACCTTGTGTTAGTGTTTCTGTTTCAAGACACCTTATTTAAAAATATGCTGTTAATTCACGAGCGGTGAATTTTGGGCTGACAGCACCATGACTCATTCCCGAGCAAAGCTTCTCTAGCACTTGTCCTTGCTCTGTAAGGCATGGACCCTTAGACATAGAGACCACCAAAAAAAAAAAAAAAAGTCAAAATGTGGTACTAAATAGATTGCAAAAAAAGACAATTTACAGCATAAAAGTTGAAGCAAGGAGACAGGATACCTTATTTGAGCTCAGCTAAAAACATGCATATCAGATGACCCCCATTTTTTGACATTCTAAAAACCTCCATGAACGACTTACAAGCGCTGTATTGATTTAGGGTTACAAATATATTTTATTAAGTAGGTAAATTTAAAAATATGGATTCCACAAGAAATGAAGATTAAGTGTATATGTAACATCAATACCTTATATATAAGAAGCTCTCTGTAAGTCTGATGTTTTTATCGTCATCTTCATTATTATATGTTATTAAATATCCCCGGGGCATTGGATACCTCTGAAAAGTTTTAGGCAGGGGGAGTGACAATGATTCAGATTTGTAATCTGAAAAGATCTCATGGCTTCTATGTAGCAATTGTATTAGATGGAAACATGGGTGGATGAGGTAACAGGAGGATATTGCAGTATCCAGGTAAGACAGATGTGATGGTGTCTTAGACCAGGACAATGGCAATGCACATGGAAAGAAGGGATGGATTTGAGAGTGGCAGTGGAAGAGGGACCATTCCTGCCTTTGCACCCACTTCTCCCTAGGGTACACTCTGTAACCTACCAGCACCATTGGCTGAGACCTTCATCCAGAAGACTCTTCTAATCACCCTAAGCTCCTTATCCTATATAGTCTATTGTGCATATTTCAGTCTAGTACTTTTAACACTATATTAATCTCCTATGTATATATTTGTCACCCTTGCTGGATGGTAAATTCTCTTTAGATGCCTGGAATTAAGTTCAGTATTTGGCACGTGGGAGGAAATGTTCAGGAAATGTGTTGCATAAATAGGTGGTGAGACCTTTAAGGAACAGCAGCAGCCCTCTCCCTCTCTGTACCCTCTCTGTCTAGTAATTAGCAATGCCCTATCCCCACCAAGATTCTGGGAACATTTGAAGCCTCTGAACCATGTTCAGTCTTTCCAGAAATAAAAGTACTTTTATTCTACCTTAAAGACATGTCGGAGCTGCAGGTCTGCACACCAAGGGTCATCTCTAAGTACAAAACAATTTTTTTTCTTGTCCTCTTGCCAGTTCATGCTTTCAGCCTTGAGTTCAGAGGCACCTTTATAAAATAAGGTGGTTGGCGGGGGTATCGTCTAAGATTCTTTTTGGTCTGGGCACTCTGTCAGTCTACTCAGGCTGATGGAACCAAATGCCAGAGCCTGGGTGGCTTAACAAGAGAAACTCTTCTTGCATAGCTCTGTCAGCTGGGAAGCCCGAGGTCAGGGTGCTGGCCAGTTCAGTTCCTGGTGATGGTTCTCCTCTCAGCGTGCAGATGGCCATCTTATCACAGCATCCTCATATGGGCCATCCTCAATGCTACTCGTGGAAACAGATCTCTCTCACTCTCGCTCTCTTTTCCTTTTCTTATAAGCCTACCAACCCTATTGGATTAGGATGTCACTCTGGTGATCCCATTTTCACCTTAACTACCTCCACAAATCCTTATCTGCAAATACAGTCACACTGGAGTTAGGGCTTCAACATGTGAATTTGGGGACAAGGGTACACATCAGTCCAATGAAGATACTGTAGGATTCTGGAAATCACCTGAGTTGGCTTCATCCAAACATGTGGCTTGGACTGAGCTGTGCCTGCCTTTTTTTTTTTTTAATATTTTTAATTGTGGATGGACCCAATACCTTTATTTTATTTATTTATTTTTATCTGGTGCTGAGGATCAAACCCAGTGCATCCTACGTGCTAGGTAAGTGCTCTACCACTGAGCCACAACCCCAGCCCCTGGGCCTGCTTTTAAAACTATTCTTGTTTGTAGCCTTCCAAGACTGCATTATATAAGCCTCTTTCCACAATCCCTTCCTTAAAAAATGTCCTCATCATTTTCAGGACTTGACTTTTCCCAAGTGCTTCAGGATTCTTCTAGGCTTCTGCCATTTCCAATAGAGCAGCTTGAGGGCTTGGAAAGACAATGTCTCAAAATTTAAAAAATAAATAAATAAATAAATAAAATAAGGAAAGGGCTGGGTGCATGACTCCCATGGTAGAGTGCCCCTGAGTTCAATCCCCAGTACTGCAAAAAAATCAATTAAAAATTAAAAAATTAAACCTGCTCCTTGCCAGACACACTTTGCCAGACCTGTCACATTTATATCATGTGAAGCTCGTAACAGCCCTGAGAGGGGGGGTGTTACTATTTCCCCCATCTAATGGTTGGCAGAACTGAAATGGAAAGATGTTATGTGGCTTATCCAAGGTCTCTTTCTCACAGGCCGCTCCAGAGCCCACTGCCTTGAGTAGGGGACAGTACTAGGTTACCTCTATGTACTGAATTTCTTAAATTCTTCCTCCACTACTTCTAAATCCCACTGAGGGGAAAAAAAAACAAAGCCAAAAAACAGTATCTTCTCTCTGTACTCACACAGAGCATCACTTCCGACAGCAGAGAGTCGGGGTTGGGAAATGCACATTGAGCTGTTCTCCACCCCTGGACACCCACTAAGTGTCCTACAATGCAATTCAATTCCAATTCTGCATGCCTGGAGTTGGTTAGCATCAGATGCCACAGTTAAGGGCTCAGGCCCACAAAACTGCCCCTACTGCAGATGCCAGTTCCACGTGTGGACCCCTGAACTCCTATAGCTCCTCTGGACACCAAGACACCCCACCTCAGGTTCCATAATTTGCCTGAATGGCAGATAAATGATTTTCTTACCTTGGCTGGTGTGTTGCAAAGGGTATTAAAGGATACACATGAACAGGATATGAGATATAGGGCAAGGTCCAAAAAAGACCCCACTGGCCCATAGACTTGGGGTGCACCACCTTCCCATACATGGGTGCAATTTAACAATCTGGAAGTCAATCTGATTATCCAGGATTTTTTACACAGCTCAATTTCCAGCCCCACAAAAACATCATACACACTTCACAGAAGTGGTGAATGGAACTAAAAGTTCCAACCCTATAAGTACTTGCTCTTTCTGGTGTCTGGTCCCATCCTGAGGCTATCCAAGGGCCTCACCCAGAAACACTTCACTAGTATAAACGCAAGTGTGATCAAAGTGTTAGGGGTTGTCAGAGATACCCCTTTGAGTCAGGATATTCAAAGGGCTTAGCAGCTCTGCAACAGGAGCTAGGAGACAAGGGCTAAATGTATTTCCTATTACACCACAACTTCCTAAATAATTTTGTGTTCTTTGACCAGTCCTTCTGGTAATGCAGCCATAGAAAACATGATGCCAAGGTGTCTCTGACGTGTTTAGACACTAAAAACAGGTGATGCTAAGCTTACCTTGTGACTTCGACCAGAGCCAGGCAAATCAGCCTAACAGGCCACATCGAGATGAGTTTTGTCAGATGATGCCATTACAGTGGCAGGCAGGAGCATCACAGAAGAGGGGCCCCTGAATCCCACAGGAAAAAGACACAGAACTGCCTTGTTAGTCCAAAAACATCGTCTTCATTCCAAACATTCAA